CCAACCAGCTGAAGCGCTTGGCATATCCATTATCTTTGTCCTGCCTCCAGCACTTCATTATCGGCCCACTTCTTCACCAAGTTGGCCACAACGGAGAAAGCCAAGTGGAATCAGCCTACATTGCGGGTAATTCTATAGCACTCAATCCTCCTCAACTGACAGATCGATGGTCTAAGTCCTCATCTTGTTTGCCCTTGTACTTGGACAGCACATCTAACTTCAGCTTGAAGGAGGATGCCTTCTCTGTGTCCACTCCTCTTGCAGGATATTTTGGTGAGATTGTCGGGTCTACTGGGGGGTGCTCGCTCAAGCACACATCAGAACAGGGAGATTGTCTATCTTGCTGAGAATTACAGCCATGTGAATCGTCTGTATAGGCAAACTTGAGGGTTGACGGAGCAGTCAATCTGTCACCCATGTCTGTGCTCGTCTTCCTCGCCACCTTCTTGGAGTCGCTAAGGACCTTGAGCAGAGATTGGCAGAAGGGTGGCGAGTCCTGATACAGGACTGTTTTACGCTTGATGTATTCTCTGTGAGAGTAAAGCCTAATAATATGTCTGGCAAGTTGCAACTATTTATGTGACCTTCTTCTTTCGTTCCTGCACTTCCTCCTCCTTCACTTAAACCCCCTACTCAATCTTCCTCTTCCCCAACTCCACAAGCTCCTGCCTCTTATGTTCTGCAGTATCTGTCTTCCCTCTGGGGAACTTTTCTTCTCTTCTTTGGGGATTCACCCATACTTGGCCTGGCTGATTTTTTTTTCAGCCATACCGGCTCAGACATGGCCATGAACTAATTTTCAAGTGTACCTGACTGTACGTGCGCGTTTTAGAATTTTGTATGTTTCCCACCAGTACCCGCATCCATGCACCCGTATCCAGCCGTACCCACAGTCATGTACACAGAGCATACCCATATTGCATCTGACTGCAGTTCTTGCTAGGTCTGGATGTATGCACAGTCCCAGTTTGAGTGTGCCCTGAGAGAGAACAGGGGAGCAAATGCTCCTGCCCGACATCCATGAGCATGGACCCGATCGGCCGTTGTACTGGGACACAGAGACTGTTCCCCAATTGAAAAAAAGGCCTTTACCCAAGAAATGTACCAACCGGACAGGGGAAGGTGAGCAGCAGTAAAACAAAATAGAGAAGTTTTTGTTTGTTCAACATGTCTCAGTTGGTACACCCCTGAAGTTCATGAACTGTGGAAATACAGGCCTGAGTTTGAACACCACTGGAAGCAGATGAGGAAAATACTTACTACCGTAATACTACAGTAATTTTGAATAAACGAGGGCCGGCCAGTGCAATGATGATATCTCAAGGCCGTTGCTCTTGTGAAACGGTATTCCCCAGTTCGAAGTAGCTGATGTAGGTCCCAGGGCTCGATCCCTAGTTCCCCAACTTACCTGTGTACAATACCTGTGTAGTTGTAGGACTTGAACCTGTGACCTGTAGGATAGCCACTTGCAGGTAGGTCATCGTAGGCACCAGAGAAGTAAGGGATTCGAACCACAGACCTGTAGGGCAAAAATCGAAGTAGGGTCCAGAGGTCTTCTAGAAGGTCGACCAGTGGGCAAGTGGTGTAGCTAAGTCTACTTGCGCCGTAGGACTGTGACATCTGTCGAAGTCAACTGGTAGGACCTCAGTAGGACTGCAGTGAGTCGTAGGTGAGTCGTAGTGCAGTCGAGGAAGTGTCCAGAAAGTCCCTGTCCGGTCCAGCAAGTACCATATGGGGCTAAGGGTACCGGGGCCAGAGAATACAGGCCAAATCGGAGCTGCGCAGAAGTATAAATCAAGAGGCTGCGTCCAGMCATTCATTCATTCCTGCGGAAGCTCTGCGGAAGCGCTGCTCGGGCGTCTTGTGCAAGGGAGGTCTGCAGATGGCCTGAAGACGAAGTGGGCAGAAGTTAGTGTTAGGCTAGTTAGCTGTTAGTGGCCATGCGCCATAGCCATAGACAGTTAGTGAGTGTGTATGTGTGTGTGCAGTGGTTGGCGTGCATGGTATCCAGGGTGATCCGGAGTCGAGTTGCGTGTGAACTCTGAGTCGAACGTGTAAGTGAGGGCGCCCAGCGCCATAGCCAACTGAAGTAAACTTGGTTTGAGTTGAGTTGCAAGCTACCATATCTCCGAGTTTGAGTTGGGTGCACAGCGCCAAGTTATTCTCATCTGTTGCATGCATGTTTGAGTGTGAATTTGCAAGACTGATTTCACTTGAAAAAAGAAAAAGAAAAAAAAAAGTCTCTGGTTTGAGACGATGGTGAGTGCAGAAAAAAGACAACAAGAGCATCCCGGGGAGAGGATGGGAGACTTGTCTGGTGGGGGTCCGGGTGACCTGAGGCGAAGCCTTAGCTGGCTGTCACCCATACCCGTGCGATTGTGCCTGCCCATAGATGCTCATCTGTATTATTAAGCCACACCTGTTCCCACCCGTAGCTGCCGGGTACTGCTGGCGGTGTGATGCCAAGGTGATGTAGGGGGGGAGGTGATTACACAGCTGCCTGCGTTGACCTCTGATTGGGCGCAGATGAATGTGGACTACACCTTCTACATGGTCTAACCTCCAACTCTCAACTTGCCTCCAACCTCCTCTTCTCCTCTCCTCTGACGTACGATGCAATCCCGCCGAAAAACATTCCAAGATGATGTACATTGCAAGCCGCCGAGGTGGGTGCTGATGTGGCACCTTCGGCGGGCCTGATGTGGCACCTTCGGCGGGCCCGATCACACATCTGACGCTCAGATTGTTGCCAGCTCTGCTCCAGTGTAAGGAATATGCCAAACTTGAATCAATATCAGCAAGTTGATATGTCCACAGACTTGACTGGAAGGATTTCACACTTGATTTGAAACTTCACACAAAACTTAAATTGATTATTGACACCAGAATGCTTGATGGAACTAATAAATACTAAATAGTAAATAGTACATACTTATGTACACCTGGGTGCAGCAGCCCTGGTCACCACGTGTCCAACAGCCTGAAGAATGATGCAGTAAGAAACTATGTGATCTCTCTGGCTATGGCTGTGTCCTCACTATCCTTTCTAGCAGCCCTGGTCACCACGCATCCAACAGCCTGAAGAATGATGCAGTAAAAAACTAGGTGATCTCTCTGGCTATGGCTGTGTCCTGACTCTCCTTTCTTTTTTTCAGTGCTAAAGTCGATGCTGCTGCTCAGCTTCTTCCCCTGCTCCACTACCTTCTTCACCCGAATAGAACGCCCGGTAATTATTGCCATACCTGGACTGAAAGTTGCATCAAATACAGTTACAAAGCACGGGCGTTCTATTCGGGTGAAGACGGTAGTCAAATACTGAAGAGTGAAAAGTGGCTTCCCGGCTAGGCTCTTTTGTCGAGCTTCGAAATCCCCCGCACCTTCTAGGTATACTACATCCTCCCCTGAACCCAATGAACTCAGATCATGAAGGTATACTAACTATTTTTCCGGTCCGTACGGTTATGATGAGGGTGTGGTGTGTTCAGGGGAAGACGGTAGTCTAGAAAGGTCTAAAACATAGAGTTGGGAGGACCGGACAGTACTTAAAGTACTAGTACATGGGCACCTGGACCGCGGGCCTGACACCTCAAGTTCTCGAGGAGCGAAACAAAACCGACACTGCCGATAGAATTTACCAACGCCGGGCCCAGCATCTGATGTTTCGACCTCGTTTTCTTGTGGCGACAAGTTCCGGACTGCAAGGCTGGGGCCGTGTACTTGTGGTTTAAAGGTCCTAGGTTCAATCTCATGTGCAGCAGAACAGCCAAACAACCGACTTACAATACTTAGCCTATTTTGTGCCAGGATACGGGCCACTAAAGTCGTGCCCGTTAACAAGCCACAATTTTAGGAAACGTACGGGCCACTACAGAAGCACCCAAATTCATCCGACTAGAAATGTTTCTACTGGGCCAAGTACTGGTGGTTTAACTGAACGGGATTTTTCCAATGGCCGGGCTGCCCACTGGCAGTTTAAGATATAAAAAATTCCGGCTCTACTTTTATGACTACCATCATGATCTCTTCTTGTTCTTCTTCTCCTCCCATCAGGACTGTAGTACGGCTCCTAGTTCAAGAATGAGCTGCACTTTCAGAATTCAGCACCCGAAATCTGCCCCAGATAATCATGGGGAGAAGAACAATACTGCCACTTTATAGTGGCCAGATTTCCAGAACTGCAACCCGTTCATTGTAAGGCGACCCTGATCGTGCCACTACGACCCGTTTTTAAGTCTTCTTTCAATGCAAATTTTCAAAATCATTGCGCAAAACCTCTACTTGGAGGATGATAAGGGGATCCCCAAGGTTGGCTCATGCCGCTCTTTTTTTTTTTTTTTTTTGAAATAACGGCGGATGCGGCATGTTTTGAAACCGTAAAGGCAAAAAAAACTGGCGCCAGCAAAGAAATCACGCGCCAACTCGAAATGAGCGATTTCGGTCCAAAAGTATCCGTTGGGCTTTTTTTTTTTTTTTTTTTTTCCTCTGACACCACGGCCGGCCCCTGTCAATATAACACCCGGTCTGACACCACGGCCGTCGGTCAAACTCGACGCGGTTTTCTTTGCCGACGCGTGCTTTTTTTGCCCATTTGATACTCAAAGGTGACATGAACATACTTGCCCCTTTTTTTTTCTTTTTTTTTTAACAAATGCTCCAATCTATTCATGGGGAGCAACATGTGCTGGGAGCCGGACCCAGCGTCCCATGAAAATTTGTAACAAGCATTGATATACTGGGCCCATAACCCGGCTTCGGCTAAGAGCACTGAAGACGATTCGAGAAATTCTAGAAAAACATGAGTACGCTAAAGGGGCTAGGTAATGAGTGCTCTGAACCTAACAATTTTAATAACTTCCCCCAACCTACAAACAATGGACCCAATGACATTTCCGCTTTCTGTGTTGGGGTTGCAGTGGCACTGTCACAAGACTCACCAATAATTTCTGATGGATGTCTGATGCGTGGTGATTTTGGATTTGTGCTGTGAACAAAAGCGGCAATCTGGATCTTTCACCTATCTCTCTACAACGGAATTCAACAGGCTGCCTGCCTATTTATAGTCAAAGCAAGCAGGCAATGAGAAACTTGGAAGGCCAACCACGGATGCTAACATCATCTACCCTGGTTAGGGATGGTTGAAGAAGACGGCAACCGAAGATCAGGGACATCAGTTACCTCATCAGTTATTCCAAGTTTTTCCACGACTACAATCTCCAGGGCATGACCAAGACTTTTCATTGCTGTTTCATGCAAGACAATCCCAAAAAAAAAAATTCTTCCCTGGAAACAAGTCAGACTCGATGTCGTGCTTCGACCCCACACGATTGCTGGAAGCCACATCAGGGTATAGTCATGTCAAGAGGGCGGACACACTCCTGCGCCTCTGCGAAGGATTTGTCGACGCAAATGAAGATCCCTCAACAAGCCCAAACTTCCGTTCTCTGGTATGTTGACTTTCATCCAAAGCATCTACCAACTGCCATAAATGAAAGCACACACCAGAAGAAGAAGAAGAACAAGAAGAAGAAGAAGAAGAAGAAGAAGAAGAAGAAGAAAATGAAGAAGATGAAAAAGACGAAGAAGAAGAAGAAGAAGAAGAAGAAGAAGAAGGAGAAGAAGAAGAAGAAGAGAGCATACTCACAGTGATTCCTTTGCAACTGAGAGCATACTTTTGTATGAGAACTTCCAGGATATCTGGCTGCAATTACATCCAGAGATCACCTCAAAAAGCGCTAGAGTGAGTAGTCCCTTAGAGTTGCATCCTTGCCCATCCCATGTAGTCCCTAGGAACCTATGACTAAGGTTAGCAGGCACTGCCATGCATGTCTTCCAGCGATCACCATGCCCAAAATATATGGGCCACTGGTAGGTTTGGCCTATGGGAACACCTAAGCCTGCTAGTGGTGTCTGCTTCTACCAGCACCACTAGCATCCACTCGGGTTGGTGTTTTCTTTAAAAGAAAAAGAAGAAGAAGAAGAAGCCTGCAGGCCTAAGTATGCCAAGCTAACCCCGAGTCGGCTCGGAAGTCCAGGGTTGGGTTAAAAAGAGGTTTGGCAATTCAGGTGCAGAGGCAAAGCTTTTCTGAAAACAGGGAAAAGGACTGCCCAGCAGCTCTGTTTTCTCTGGAGAATCGAGCCAATGGACGTTATTTGGAGTGTGTTTAGGGCAACATTGTCCCTCTGGGCACTTGCCCTCTTACCCTGATAGAGAAGTAAGTAGGGTAGCTGGGGATTATGAAGGTCAATTGCCCGGCAAAGAAGCCCATGTGGCTGAATGGCACACACATGTAACTGTTAACAAATAGGTCATGAGCCTATGCTTCAGATTTATACAATAAGGTTAGGGGCTACCCACTCTTCGAAAGAACAACGAAATAAAGACCAATATCTAGGATCTCTCAATGCAGTTATGTGGGCCAACGGCCCTGTTCAGGGATGGTACCTAATATCAAGCATGCATTCTGTTCAGGGATGAAGATGGCTTGGAAGCCTCAGTTGACACTCTTGTGACCTTTTTTTTTTTTTTTTTTTTTTTTTTTTTGGGGTAGTGGGTGCCACTCCACACTCTTGTGACCTAAGTTGAGAGTTATGATGTAGCTCAGTGGTTAGAGCACCGGTTGGAAATGCGCATTGTGGTATGAGGTTGCGGGTTCAAATCCGTAACCTTGCGCATGGACACCAGCAGGGCGTTAGAATGACGCACGGCTGGACACACACCCCCTTGGGATGACGCAGGTTAGCTATTACAGACACTGCCTGCGCACCACCCAAGGGTTGTTCATGGTGTTGTATGTTGGTTCTGGGTTTCACATGGGTTGCTTGGGGGTGTTGGTCTTGGGTGTTCTGTTGATCTCCCCAGTCTGGCATATCACACGTTCGTGCCATTTCCACTAGTTGTTCAAATGGTAAAATCATACAATTACATGTTACAAGGTCACAGGTTCAAGCTTGGTTCGGACCATGGGGCGGTCCCTGTCCAGCTTGCCCCGTTCTCTCTTCGAATACACACATGATGCTGCCTATACATCTCGGTACATTGATTCACAGAGCGCACACAGCCTTCGGGCATATACATATCTTGCGAATTATACATGGCCTGCGGGCTACATACACACAAGTTTCCACACATAGTGCTGTCTGTACATCTTGATGCATAGATACATGGAGCACACACAGCCTTCGGGTATACACATACATTGCGAACTACACAACTATCAGACTGGGGGGGTCTAGTCACTGGGCGGGGTCTAGTATCTGCAGTAGGGACAGGTACGGGCCACCGGAGTTCCTACTGATATTCGGATAGAACTGTCTAGTGGCTATATATAAGGCTTAGACCCTGGGGTAAGGGTAGGGGTATAAGTCGCTCAGGCCAGTCCGAGTTCCGCCTGGCCTTGGGTAAGCTAGGGGAAGGACGGTAAGACTGCTTCAATGGGTGCTACCGTGTCTGAAACCTAGGGCCTAGAGTCTCTTGGGGCCTGTAGTAGATTGTCTGGGCCTGGCGTCCGAAGTTCCCATTTGACAAGGCTCGTCCGATTCCGCTTCCACCAGGGCTGCGCAACCTATCAGTCCTGGTGCCTATCACTGCTGTTCGGTCCAAGTTACCTGCCCATTGGTAGGGTAATGGTCCTGAGTGCTGGTCACACTGAGGTAGGATAGTGGGATAGGGGGTGCGCTAGGAGTATTGACGTGAGGATGGGATGGGAGGTGGTCTCATATTCCAGGACACCCACGGCCTACTGCTCCAGGTGATCACTGTGTACTCAGTGACTGGCCTCTACAACACCATGGACTTTCAAAAAAAAAGAAAAAGAAAAAGAAAAAAAAAGAGAGTTATGACTCTTGTGGCCTCTAGGGCAATTTGAGAGGGACGTGCCTACATGACCATTACTGCCGGAAACTGCAATTCAGAAATTGCCACTGTCGTTGTCCACTCTACTGTAGTCGTTATTTCGATTCTATTTCTGTACGTATGATGCTGGACCCAGTTTCCAGCAGATCCAGCTCCTCACCTGTAGACCGCAGGTATAACGTCCGCAGAGTCTCCTATTATTGAGGGCTACTCACATCACCCCCGATAATGGGCCTCCCCAACCGTGTTCTATTAAACCACCACTTCTCGCCACATGCAAAAGAACATGACTGTACATTACTAAATGTATGCATCCGCTACTTTCGGGGCCGTGGGGCTACCTGACTCGGATGACTGGCACTGCCAGCCAAAAAGAAAAGAAATTGTCCCTGCGCCGTGTCCTGTCTTGTCTTGGCGCACAGCAGGGTTTTGAATCGGTGTAACCACTGTAACGAGCATTGGACGCAGTGGTGGCTTAAAGGAGAAAACAAAACTAAGTCTTGGCATCTTAATGTTTCTGGAGTTCATATAGATCACACACCTTGGCCAGGAAAAAAGACACTTGTGGATCCAAATGGACACTTCTGGATTGATTGCCCATCAGGTGGATTACTGGCAATCACAACCACCAGCCAATCCGAGCCTCTTTTTCCCAATCCGGAATCCTGATTCCTGTTGCGCGCCCAAGAAAAAAGAATCGGTGCGGGCACAAAATTGCCAGGCGAGGCCAGCCTTCTCTGTTTGGTAGGCCCAACCCGCAATTTTGCGGTGGCTTAACTGCCCTGCCAAACACGATAGCTAGGAAAACGACTGGTGGTCTAGGACCTGCAAAAAAGGTTGCAACTTGAGCTTAAACCACCAGTACATGGGCCCAGGCAACTGGAGAACTTGTTTTGAGCCTCTCCGAAAATTGAGGAGGACCAGCGCCGTAGATAAAATGAACTGGCAGCGCGCAGCCTCCGAAAGGGACCTGCGGCCGATAGCTCGCATGCACTGGTGCTTTAAACCACCAGTACTTCGCCCATACATCAGCCGCGGTGAAAAATAGCGCCACAACATTTCCACTAGAATGAATTTGGACTGGAGCCAGCAGGCCCGTTCGGCCCAGCGTGTCGTGGCTCGTTTACAGCCACGGCTTTTAAAAGTATGTGTGGTTTAACATGGCAACGAGGCCCCACCCTGAGAGAAGGTGATTGGGTGGAAAGGAGGGACACTTCGTCGAGGATTGGCCAGATTCATATGGTCTCCCCCCAAATAGTCTTGGTCGAACACTACACTACCACCAAAATGGGCACCCTCCAAGGGAGCAGAGCCCCCTTTGTTTGGAAGGAGAGAGCATCAGTGTACCGAGTGAGGGTCATGGAGGAGAAGGGACAGAGGGTGGTGTTCCAACCATTCACGGCAATCTAGGATCTGGTTCTGAACCCAATACCAGTCACATTAGCCTTTATCAACTATCGATCAAATCGGCCTATAAAATGCTCAGACCCAAAAGACATCTGAGGGACAAGGTCAACGATTGGTGGGCTAGGCACCTTAATGTGGACCGCGCTCTCCTGTCGCCGATCCATTGGTTCAAGGAACAAAAATGCAAGCCCATGAAAATCACCTCCCTACAGTGGTAGATAGCCCATCGTTGTTTGCCGACCAACGACTGGTTGTTAGACCGCACTAACCTGGAACAAAGAGGCCTGCTACTTCCATGGTGCCAGCAGTGCCATAGTTTATTCCCTTCCCACAAGAAGGCGGAGACCATTGAACATATTTTCATGCAATGCCCGATCGCCCAATTCACATGGAGGTGGTGGGACTGCATCTGGCAAAAAATGGAAACTGACATCCCCTGGTCTTGGTCATGGCAAGCCATATTGGCGGGGCATTGGCCGATGGCAGGAGAAGCCGCAACCTTTGTAGAATATATGTACAAACTGGGAAGGAGGGCAGTGATATGGACACTCTGGTGGCAGAGGTGTACCCTGACCATGGAGAAGGTGAGAGTAGACGGGTCAAAGATCGCAAAAGAGGTTCAGCAGCAGGTGCATCTTGAACTCACGCAAAGATGGTCGGATATAAAATCACAATTAGACCTTTTTAGATAAGTTGGTGACGTTAGGAGAGTGATTACAACATTTTGCACAGACTGGGTAGGAGGGGAGAGAGAAGGGTGGACTGCAAGGGTGGAATGGAGTGGAGACAGGGGAGATGGACAGCGGGATTTGGAGGAAATGAGAGATTATCGCCTAGTTTTCAAAGACTGGACAAACATAGAACCCTCGTTCCCACTACGCCCTCCCTCGGATTTCCCAGACCCCTGCCCACCCCATGCCCTTGCCCTGGTGGAGATTTTGTCCTGAAATGCCTAATCATTTACCTCCGTATCATCCACATCTACATACACCCAGATATGGAGTTCCTCCCTGGAGCCCCCCGGGGAGGACTCCACTAGTGTACATAACTACCTTCCTTACTATGATCCTTATTTGCTGTTCAGTTAACCGCCCAGTTTTCTGGGGTAGTCAATGCTGGCAGTAACATCTGACGTATGGAGCATAGGTTGGCATTCTGAACATTCTGAGCCTTTCATATATTATGGGCCGCTGGACCCGGTTTCCAGCAGTTGCTGCTCCCCACCAATAGAACGGAGCCTAAAAAAACGAAAAGAAAAGAAAAGAAAAAACATGGTAATGGTATGGTAGTTGGGAAAGCGCACATATTCTACTTCAACGTTTGGGGTTCATAGTTTCGTTTCTTTCCTCTGTCTTCCCAAGGCTCCATCTGCCAGTGGGGAGAGTCTGGGGTGTATACTTCTGGGACATGACACCATCCGCCGAGATCAAGCATTTCTCACCATTGATCTGCGAAACCGATGGTCAGAAATGCTTAGCCCCGGCTTGTGGAATCATGCCCCTGGACATCTGGAAAATGAATGAAGCCACAAAACACAGATATGAAGTCTCTGGACAAGGAACGGTCATTTCAGATTTCCAGTCAGAAGTTCATGTAACAGCTTAAAAAACGACCAAAGTGGTACATGCTGCTCCCCACAAATAGATCCGAGCGTTTAAAAAAGAAACAAAGAAAAAAAAGAACGACGAAAGTGGCGACATGGGCATCACAGCACAGCAAGGACACATAACAATACACCTCACACGGTCACAGCACTGCACAAGACTACACCCTGGGCAATATGAAGAAAGACAGCCACTAGGGTTTAAGGGTTTATCTTATCACATACTGTTACAATCACATGTCCGTTCATACAAACAACCACGATGTTCAGAGATGCTGGACCCGCTTTCCAGCAGGTGCTGCTCCCCACCAATAGATGGAGCCTCCCCGATAGTGCTAGTGGTGCCTGCTCTTACCAGCATCCCTAGCATCTGTTCGGGTTGTTCCCCCCCTACAAAAAAAAAAAAAGGAAAAAAGGACACGTAACAATGCCTTACCACAGGGAGAAGAAGGGGGGGGGGGGGGGGGGGGGGGGGGGGGGGGGGGGGGGGGGGGGGGGGGGATTGCTCAGTCTGTTTTCTTAAAGAACCAGTACACCACATATCGGCCCGCGGGTGTCAGCATGGTACCCACACCACTTCGGAGGCCGCCGATTTTTTTCCAACGGCGGGCCTGGCCGCGCGGCGCCTCCGAGTTTTGCTTGTGGCAACAAAAACTTTCTGCAAGGCTGGGACCGTGTACTAGCGGTTTAAGGGACGCTGGGCTCGGATCCCAGCATGTGCTGCTCCCCACGTACAGATCGGAGCACTGTCCCATTTTAAAAACAAAAGAAAAAGAACAAAGAAGGATGACATCGGGGGAATATCCCTCGGCGACTCCTCTCTGTTCTCATGGGGTGCAGAGGGCAAATGCCTTCCCAGGCCGAGGGCCAAGCCCCTATGGACTTTTGACTTCGCCTATGTCCTGATATCCAACCGCTGTTTTCTGGAGTGGACTTTGACAATCTGCTATGGGCCATCCGATTCCCTACAAAGACTTAGACATGGTTCATGGTGGCCCCGCCCCAAAGCCAAGGTGCTAAGCTGACCACTTTGTGATAAGGAGCGAGGATGGGTCAAAGCGATGCCATAATTGATGCCAGATTTCAAACGGATGGCTTGGCCCAAAGATTACAACTGCAGATTGGCTTGGCCCAAAGATTACAACTGCAGATAAGTTTTCTTCTTTCTCCTTTCTTCTTTCTTCTTTCGCCTGAGTGGACTTGGCAGAAGGGGGATGCTGGGATGGTCTTTTGATCATCTCAGCACTGTACCATTGCACGTTGTGTCCTCCACTAGAGTAAAGCCTTGCATAATGTGCTCATGTTCAAATTGAACTGTGTTTCTTATTTCTTCTCTCTTTTTCCTTCTTTCTTCTTTCTTCTTCCTTCTTCCTTGTTTCTTGTTTCTTGTTTCTTCTTTTTGGTTTTGTAAAAAGCATAATTGCAGAACAGTCCAGGGGAGACTCTTTGGATGCTTAAGAAGTGAAGAAACAGAAGCATACGGAAACCCTTCTTCCACACTTTGAAAATGCAAGGAGATTTTGTAGTTCAAACTTTTGTCAGACATCAGGGGGAAGGCCGGGGGGGGGGAAGGGGGGAGGGGGGAGAGTTAAAAATCCGTGGAGATTTGGAACTTTCGCTGGCCAGAAGGCATTTCAAGGTAAAAAAAGAAAAAAAAAAAGGAAAAAAAATCACTGGACGCCGTGGACGGTGGACTTGGGTAATGGACGCCGTCGACGGTGGACGCTTGTAGTCCTGAAAGTTTCTGGATCTCTGCTGCAGGATCTGGATCCCATCCACCGATTTACTCCATTCTTAACGGAGATGGCGGACTTGGGTAATGAACAAGTTGCCATTATGTTGTTGCGAGTGATAAAAATTTTGTCCCGAAAGAAAAGGAATCGGCTTGCCATGGACGATGCGCTCATTGCTGCCGTCCTCAAATTTCTTCACTTGGGCAGAAGCCCCAAGATCTGTGCTGAAGGAGCGAACGTCATACTAAATGCATGCTATGAGAGGGAAAACGTTGAAGTTGTGCTTCGGCATAATGGAGCATCACCACTTGTAAGTCTGCCCCTTCTCTCTTTCCCCCCTTTTTTTTATGCATGTTGTCCTTGCGCAGGGGCCATGCTAATCTTCTCTGTATTGTTCCATAACTTCCACTATTATTTTTTTGTTTTTTTTTGTTTTTTCTCTCACCTCACATATTTTTTAACTGGCATTCTGCCATGTCATGGAAGTTGATGGAAACATATCTTTCTTTCACTACCTACCTACCACTACTCCTAAGGCTACACAGGGGACCCCTGCCGAGGTTACCTCTCTCGGTGGAGAGAGGTAACGGCATGTTTACCCCTTTGCCCTAGCGTTTAGGGTGCAGGGTTGGGGCCGCCGGTGGGGACCCGGCTAACACAAGGACCAAGCATTTGCCAGTAACTGTGCCTCCCTTTTCATCTCCCCCCACCCCCATGGAGTAACAGTAGTGTCTAGAGCCAACACTCTCCCACAGCACACGCAACCCACTCACACACGCACTCACTCCCATGTTGTCTGAAGACCTTACTTTCTAAAGCCAACACTCTCCCACAGCACACGCAACCCACTCACACGCACACTCACTCCCGTGTTGGATGCAGACCTTACTAATGCCGATTGGGAGGATCCAGCTTGCTATCTCAGTTGGTTGGCACCAAGAGTGCCACAGGCGGCCATGGGGATTGAACCCACTACCTCCTGAATGCCACTTGCCTGCCCAACCAATTGAGCTAGGCCGCTGGATTCTCGTTCCAATGTTAATGATGTCCCGCAGGATCTCTTTCCCCTTTTCACCAAGCAAGGTTTTCGTTCCTCTCCCCCCCCCCTCCTCCCCTCCTTCCTTTAGATATTATTATCGAGCTGACCGGGCCTAGGTAGTTCAGAATTGACCTCAGGGTATTTTAGTCATCTGCTCTCAGTGGAGTTCGAACTCTAGACCTGGTCTGTATTTCAACAGTTCGTTCAGGGGGGGTGTACCAACTGAGCTAGGCCAACTGAGCTCCCAGTTGGTACACCAGTTGGTACACCAAGCAAGGTTTTCTGTCCGTTTTTCCGGCAATGAAAGGCGGACTGCTACCCTAAAAGCTAAAAAATGTCCCTCGGGACATCTGTTAAAATGGGAACGATACCGAGGAGGTAGATTAGCATGGCCCCTGCGCAAGGATGACATGCGTAAATCGACTAGAACTCCTATCGCGCGAATACATATAGGCCAAAGTAAGGATAACTGAACAGGGAGTGACACTTGAACGCACAAGGAAGGAACACGCTGTAGAATGGCTATTATAATAGAATGGGGACACTTTCAGAGAAGGGGTAATGCCGTCATAGGGATGGTAGTGGCTATGAAGGTGATGGAGGTACGGAATCGCTAGGTTGACAGGCGGCTTGAGGAACTGCAAGAGGCGCGCTCTATTCGAAGGGGCGTTCTATTTGAAAAAAAGTGAGTAAAAACGAAAATCTCATATTTTTAGGGTAAGTTGAATATAACGCCCGGGTGTTGTTTATGAGCGAAGACGGTAGGGATATTTCAGTGAGTCGGATCAGGCTTAGGAAGGTTCCTGTAGATTTCCTGTAGCTCATGATGGTCCCGAGCCCAAATTTAGACAGCATTAAGGGAGATCCAGACCCAACAGGTAGGATATCAGTCCACAATGATGTTCCGCCAAAAGCAGGAGCATCCAGTAGGACTGGTGCACCCAAGGGAGGCTGCATAGAGGGTGGAAGCACCTGGGCAAGAGGTACTGGAGGCTGGGCAACAAGAATATATACCAATCAGTGTGACAAGTAGTCTGGGCATTCACCCGGCAGTCATGTTGCTGCCACCCAGAGGGAAAGTGAAGCGAGGCACTTCGGTGAAGGAGGAGGAGGAGCTGAGGGTGAGGAAGGAATGGAGGTGGAGATAGCAATGGTCGAGGGTCTACAGTTTGGAGGCAGAGGTAGAAGGACCCTCAGCCGGGCTATGGAAGTGAAGTAGAGGTAGAGGAAGAGGAAGGAGATGGAAATCAACAAGGAGCCTTACCTTTGGCTATGGTGAACTTTCATCTTCATCTTCCTGGTTGGCGCTGCATCCAGGCAGCCACCATCGGGGTACCAGATCAACGTGGAATTCATCTGGAGGGTGGCTATGGTGGTAGAAAGAGAGAGACATATTAGTAGAAGTTTTGCTCACCTATGGTACTCTACAGCTATGGGATCCATCACCTGACGACCACAGCCATTCTCAAGCTCCCTTCGTGCCCCACTAGTCACTTGGTCACAATACAAAGCAACAGCACTTCTGGCTTCAGCACGAATGGAATGAATGATGATTGCAACTGTTGTTCCGCTTTCGTTTCTGACGATTCGGCTTCCCAGTCCCTAGACTGTTATGGCTGGTAGACCTGGTGGCCTCCAGGTTTGGGTCTGCCTGCCTTTGATGTTTCCGGAATGATTCCTCCCTTTCCTGGGACTCTGGGCCGCTAGCTAACCTGGGACTTCCTAACTGGACTGGACCTGGGACTGCCTAACTGGACTGGACTGGACTGGACCCCTAGCCCAAAGGGAGCTATCTACCTGAAGCTAAAACAGACTGGACTGGACTGGACTGGACTGGACTCTTCCTAAACTTCCTGCCGGACCCTAAACTACCGGGGCTTACTTGGGACTGAATTGGCCAAGAACTGGACCCATCCCTGGACCCCTTGGCGCTGATTCCAGGTTCGTTGCACAACGCAGAGCTGGACAAAACGACCATTAATGCAAAAAGTAAGACAAAAACAATGTAGCAAAGGAGACCCTTCTCTGATTTCCAAGTTCCGTACCTCCAGCCCAACTTGGTCCTCCTCCCATCTCACTCGCCACCTGCTTCACTGCCATTACCGCCAGCACTGTCTCCCTGCCACACCGCTTATGCCCAACGTGCCTGAGACCGCCCTCCCCCCCCCCTCTCTCCCTCTCCCTTTGCCCCACCCGCCTCCCCCTGGTACCCCACCCCACACCTTCTCAACCGCCTGCAGCGCACAATGGAAATGGGACTTCATACCATGTAAGGCGCAGCAACGACCACGGAGGAATAGCGGTCGGCAGACATAAAGACAATGATCGGGGGATGCAGGAGTGTCACGAGTTCAATTGTGATAAACCCTGCTCGAAGGAAGGACATGAGTGGGCCTAAAAGCTATAGATAAGGGCCATATCTTGAAAGCCCTAAGGTTTCAGGGTTTAAATGCGGCTGGGATGGAGACCGATAAAATTCCAATACGGAGGTACATCAACATGGCTGCGGCCGGTGTCCTGGCTCATATCCCAGTTTTCAGGGATTGAGTGAGTCGGTGGGAAGTGGATGAACTTTTCGAGGTACAGGGGGAAGATGCTAGCAATTGCACGACCACTTGTGCTGGTCTAATTTAAGGCGGACTCAAGGCTGAAGAAGTATATCCCCCACACACTCCACGAGACTCTTCCAGGAAGGGCTGTGGACGGCGCTACATCAGTTTCAACAAATAGAGTTCAAGTTCGGGAAGGGTTTGGCTTGCAGCTCAGTGGGGAAATGGCTCTCTGATGATATGACTAATGACTGTGGCCCCGACTCAACACATTGCATTGCTGTTCCAAGGGACGCTGGACCTGGTTTTCAGCAGGTGCCGCTTCCAAGTTCCCACCAATAGATGGAGAAGCCCGCTGGCCGAGCTCTCAATTCTGGCGGTTCTCCTACCACCGCCGGGACGTGGAGGATGTGAATGGGGGGTAGCCGATTAATACTTGCAATCGGTCTCCAATCCTCCTGGCAACAGGCAGGAGACCTGTGTATACCTGTGTATACCATCACTCATAATAGGCTGTCATGTAGGCTTGTAACTTAGTCTGTTGTGAAGGTTTACCTGCTAAAGCTCAATCCAAGCAGATGAGCCCGGTAGCTTGCTGTCAGTTACAAATGCATGTCTGTTAGTCGAGCTGTAAACACAACAATGGTACATATCATCACTCATCACAGGATGTCATGTAGACAAACAGCCCAGACAGCTGTGTAGTTCTACCTGCCAAATTCCACTCTCAGTAGGTGATTCTGACAGTTTCCTATCAGTACAACTGCATGTCTGTTCACATAAACAACTACAACGTTCTGGGACGCTGGACCCGATTTCCAGCAGGTGCCGCTCCCCACCAATAGATGGAGCCTCCCTGGTGGTGCTACCTGCTCTTACCAGCTCCCCTAGCATCCGCCTGGGTGTTCTCTCCGAAAAAAAAAAAAAAAAAAAAAAGGGATGTGATTGTGTTTTCAAACTTTTCACCAAAAAAAAAGAAAAGAAAAAGAAGAGAGAGAGTTGAGGAGTCAGCCATGAGGATCCATGGACTTCCCAGATATGGTAACTTAAAAAGGAAAACAGCTGTACCAGGGCTTGATCCCTGGTTCTTTTGGGCTACGTCACTACAGACTACACTTTTTGGACCATTTCTCGATTTATGCGTGTCATCCTTGCGCAGGGGCCATGCTAATCTTCTCTGTATCGTTCGAATTTTAACGGATGTCCCGAAGGATCTGTATGTTTTGTTTTTAGTACGACAGGCTAGCCAATTGAAATTGTGCCCCCTCGATTTGTTGTGAATGCTTTGGAGTACTGGACGACGGTTCGAGGCTACTTTTTTTTTTCTTTTTTCTTCAAAAAGTCCAGGTTGTTGTAGAGGCTGGCTACTAGGCATATGACAGGCCTGCCGGCACCTGACCATTTGATCATTCTGATGTATTGCCGAACTGGTCCCCTACGAGACACTACTGTTTTTGTAGTTGTGTGGATTCTCTGGAAATGACGGGACGCTTTGTGGTTGGCAGTGTACACGGCAGATGTTGATTCCCCTGGTCTACTCTTGACTCTTCATAGGCTAGGATATATATGCTGTAGTCAATCATTGTTTCACACTTGTGACGACGATGACCAAGACCCCTGATATGATGGCTCGTTGGCGGGCCAGCCGAAACTAGGGTTCATGCCGCTGTGCTTTATTGCTACATTTTTTGAATAAGTCGCGCTCAGGAGTTTCTACATAAAAAAAAAAAAAAAAAAACGGAGGGGGGGGTTGGGCAGGGGTGTTGGGAGGCAGTTACCTGCTTTGCACTTTGTAGTTCAGGCAGCAGATCACGTGTCTTGCAGCAAATCAACAAGCACATTTAACTAGCAGACATGCAGAGTTGCAAACAGTGCAAAGCAGGCACAAGACTGAAGAAACAGAGAATTTTTTTTTGAAAAAAGTATGATTGACTTTGAACTTCGAACTTTGGATTAACTTCATATATAACTTAAAAGTTCAAACTTTGCAGTTCAATTCAGAACGTCAGAGTCTTCAGACTGGCAGCACTGTCACTCTCTCTCTCTCTCTCTCTCTCTCTCTCTCTCTCTCTCTC